ATCTCCTGCAACTTATTTTAGCCACTGCCTGACTACATACTTGTGCTCCAGCAGCGGCTCGGTGGCATTGTTTATGGCAGGTTTTCTGAAGATGACAATGGCAGGACATGCCTCCACAATGAGTGTTGGCACAACTGCTTTCCCCCTCTACCAGAAACTTGTGTGACACGGTGACAACTCACTAGAACAGTGTGGAGACTGGGACAGAGTGTTGTTACCACATTACAGGAAGTGCTTAAGGACCTTCATGGCAGGATAACTGGGTATCATTTCAATGAAAACAATATACTTTCAAAGACTGAAAATGATTTTGGGGTTTTTGTGTTTACATTTACATTACGACCTCCCTCGTGATCTGTGATTTTTTCATATAATGCAGCAGACTTCAGAAGTACTTAAAAATTGATTGTAAAAAATACCTTCGACAAGGACAGAAAGTGGGGTTTTGAGAGCACCAAAGGAACTTACTCCACAAAGAAATTCATATAAAAGAGTTAAGTTTAATTACATTCATTAAAAACAAAGGCTAGATATACAATCCAAATTAAAATCAGCTAATTAGATAGCTCCCTGTGTGCTCTCTCCATATGTACCCTTCCTACAGCATGATTAAATCATAACAAGATAAGTGCATAGTTTAGGAAACAATCTGATAAAACAGACGATCAAGGATAAGGGATAACAATTCCTTAGAAGCTTAAATGCTGTATGGAGTTGGTGGAGGTTCATAAATGGAGGTGCCGATACGACGTTTCGCGCACCCAGGCGCTTCTTCAGGTACAGGAGGTATCAATTTATGTGCTCTGGTGTGTATATGTGTCTGGGCGGGTCTGGTCGAGCTACGCCCCTGCGTAGTCCCCCCTAAAAATAGGAGGGGTACTATGTTGGTCAATTCCCAATATTGAGTTTTAGGGGTAAGAGAAAGGAAGGAAGAGACAACAAAAACGAGGTGTTTGAGTCAATCAGGCTGATGGCCACACAGTTTGAGGAGACGAAAAGACGGAAAAGGCATGGACCGAGCAGAAGTCTCTGTCTGCTTGTCTTCCAAAATTAGGTCCTCCGATTACCCCTACGCCACCCACATCTACTACCGCTGCCTACCTGCCGCAGACTGCGGCAGGTAGGCAGACTGAGGCAGGTAGGCAGCGGTAGCCTTTTCCGTCTTTTCGTCTCCTCAAACTGTGTGGCCATCAGCCTGATTGACTCAAACACCTCGTTTTTGTTGTCTCTTCCTTCCTTTCTCTTACCCCTAAAACTCAATATTGGGAATTGACCAACATAGTACCCCTCCTATTTTTAGGGGGGACTACGCAGGGGCGTAGCTCGGCCAGACCCGCCCAGACACATATACACACCAGAGCACATAAATTGATACCTCCTGTACCTGAAGAAGTGCCTGGGTGCGCGAAACGTCGTATCAGCTCCTCCATTTATGAACCTCCACCAACTCCATACAGCATTTAAGCTTCTAAGGAATTGTTATCCCTTATCCTTGATCGTCTGTATTATCAGATTGTTTCCTAAACTATGCACTTATCTTGTTATGATTTAATCATGCTGTAGGAAGGGTACATATGGAGAGAGCACACAGGGAGCTATCTAATTAGCTGATTTTAATTTGGATTGTATATCTAGCCTTTGTTTTTAATGAATGTAATTAAAATTAACTCTTTTATATGAATTTCTTTGTGGAGTAAGTTCCTTTGGTGCTCTCAAAACCCCACTTTCTGTCCTTGTCGAATTTAAATTCTAGGGGTGTGGCACCTACTATTCGGACCCAGATCGAAAACCATCGTCTATATTTATGTAAAAAATACCTATAGCCATATAAGACCAAGCCAACAGCTTGTATAGTGAATTCTGCAAATAATTGTGGATAAAGTAAATAAATAAAAGTAGAATACTGTGTTTGTAATTAGTATTCTAATTAGTGTTCAGTGCTTGTTAGTGTATCAACAGGGGGTCCTGTTACATGTAGGTATACGTATAGGATGAAGAACACTTGCAAAGAGACAGTAATAACAAGTGTTGGTCCCAGAGATTTCCCATATTGGTGTTAATTCTTTTATCAATCCATTAAACAAAATAGCCTGGGAGAAGAATTGCTAAAGGCAGAATGTCAATAGCCTTGGCGATTAATCAGAAGGGGTGTGTCTCAGAATTGTGTATCATATGAATTAGGGATGCACCGATACCGTTTTTCCGGTATCGAGTACGAGTACCAGGTGACGAGGGAGCATGAAGCTGGCTTCCCGGCCTATCAGAAAGCCGGGCTCCACGTCCTAACACGGCGTCTGGCTTCATGATTGGCCAACTTCCTGACCAATCAGGAAGCCAGGCAGCGAGTCATTACACACTGCATGGCTTCCTGATTGGCCAGGAGGCCGGCTCCACGATCCCTCATCACATGTGACAAGGAAGCATGGAGCCGGCTTCCCGGGCCAATCAGGAAGCCAGGCAGCGTGTAATGACTCGGCATCAGCACAGTGACATCGGCACCAATATCGATACTTTTATTGGTGCATCCCTATTATGAATGATAAGCTTGTCTACATCTGTCCACATCTAAATTGCACACCATTGGTACCTAATGTAAACTTTCTGCTTGACATGGCCAACAATTGATCTTCCTTCTCGGTGGAGATTTTCCAGCGTGTTGGACACTTGTTGCATGAAATAATCAGTGATTCTGCTCAGAAATGCTTTTATCAATGTGTTACTTAGCCAGAAGAAAAAATTGATTATGACGTTTGAAGGCAAATAGGCTGTTCACGTTGCAGGGGATTTTTTCCTTTGATTACGGTAGTAAATGAGGTGACTTTTATCATCTATTCATGTGCAAGAAAAATGTTCCTTGCTCATGATTGGGTATTCATTGCACATTCACTAAGCTAAGGGAAAACTCACTTGCAAATGTCAAATTACCCTGCAAAGTGAACAGCCTATTTGCCTTTAGTAAATCAACCCCTACGAGTCAATGTACAAAAGATGTTCTTTTATTCTTTTATATATACTTGTGCTATGTTTTGGGGTGAGAAGATGGCACCTTTTAGAATGCACCATATATCACCACTTTTGAATTGTGCTTTTGTTCTATGTGTGGGGTGTGAGGGACAAACTGTTTCTGCATTTTATTAGAATTTACATTAATTTACCAGCTCCTTATGATCACATGTATACTTTACAAGTTGCAGTTACAGCGATGTGTAAGTAGTCTGTTATTTTTTTAGCATCATGTGAGGAACATCACTTTTAGGATTTCAAAGCTTTTATAAGATTGAAGTGCCCTTTTGTCATAAGAGGAAATAAGACTGAAAATATCTTAGTAATGTGGGGATGTGTCATCTGGTGTCTGGGTCAAGCAAGTTAATAAGTGAACATTTATTTAATATAATATGATTTATTTAGACATATTGTATTTTCAGGTATCATTTTGGCATCTCTTAAAGTCGACCAATATTTTAAAAAATGAAGATTTGCTATCTTATAGAGGACATCTAGAAAAGTAATGTGTCACTAAGTACTACCCTGAATAATGCACCATTATCACTGAATTAATCCAGAAAAATAGTCAACTTCTGAAATGTATTCGTACCTTGACACTTTTGTCCCCTGAGCATCATCGCTATAAATCTGCAGTGTGATATCTAAGGCACTGCTGCATCTTGCTGCTAGTCCCAGGAGATTTGAAGTGAGATTCGGTGATGTTGATAAAGTTTTTACATGTTTAAAAACTCTGGTGATCATTCTCTATTTATTTATAGAAGTGAGCATCAGTTCCTTAATTCTCACGCTTCACCTGAATTCTTTTGTGAAAGCTTAGCCAGGTGACAGCAATATTCTTTCATTCTGTTGTTTGTGGTAAGATATTCGGTATGTCTGACTTGTGACTGATAGAAAGTTACTACAGTCACTACTGTGAAAAAGAAAATTGAAGCATGCCTTATAATTGTGCAAATATTCTAGGCAGCTATATTTCTGTACCAGAATTATATTATTTCAATCTCATTGGTCAAGACAGGTGACCAATGAAATTCTAACTTCAAGGTCCTGTCATGTACTCATTTGTGGTTCGTTGATATTTGGATTATTGCAGGTTGTGTTAAGGTGCCCATACACTGCACGATTATCGTACGATAATCGTATGCGATCGGGTTTTCGTACGATAATCGAGCAGTGTGAACGGAGACGTGCGACCGTTTCTACTGTACGGTCGCACGTTTTCTGTCGAACCAGCATGTTCGAAAACCAGCCGGGAATCGTACGATTCTCGGCTGGTTAGAACGGTGCTCGGAAGACAAATGCTGAACGGGCCGGTGTGCGCACGCGCACACTGCCCGTTCAGCATTGCGGTCATCGGAAGCCCGCCCCTCAGGAGGGCGGGCTTGCGATGATCGAGAGTGCGATCTGCCTGTCCAAGATAGGCAGATCGTACGTTTTTTTAATCCCTTTACAACCATCGGGTTTTTCCTCTTTCTATCCCAGGGCCAACATTGTCACACAGCCAGGACATGAGATAAAATCTCCAATGGGGACTGAGATAAAAACGCTGATGGTGGTTCTGGCTTTCCTTTACTCTATTAAAAAGACTGCCAGACACAAAAGGAAGCAAAAAAGTTTTGGCTGAAGAAACGCTACGTTTTAGTATTTATTTATTAGCGTTAATGCTAATATTTATCATCTAGATTTTAGGTCTTGGCGACATAATTCGCTAGTTAGCCTGTAGGTAAATGGTGAGTTTCAGTTGCAGGTATTTCACTTTACTTTGTGATGATGTTGTACTTGTTCCTACTCACATAAGTGAAACTTTGTCGCTAATGTCAGTTCAGTAAGGGACCATAATTTATGACTTAATGAGCAGTTATAGGCCAGTCTTACATTCCTTCTTTCTTACATTTCACCATAGACTACATGCTGTCGCCACTAAAATCTAATCTTGGGCAAGCCTTTGAGATACGGTAAAAAACTCACGCTAATTTACTGTTGTGTTATTTTACAGGAAAATATGTGAGAGACTACATTGTACAGCCTGGCCATTAAATCACTCTTCACGTGTCCAGCAAAGCGCAGGATGGATTTATTGCAGCATTACTAGACAACATATATCCGCCTGAGGAGGATCTGCTGGGCTGATTGAGCTACTGAGATACCATATCACAATGGCAAACAGCAGCAAGGAACGCCTGTGTGGATCTGGTGCACCAATCGGTCATGTCAATGGATTTCCCCAGTCTGTCTATCCGTTTGCTTTCAGTGGAGGTATCAGAAGTTCCCCGCCGTTTGAAATGCTCGCCAATGGAAGCTTCTTCCGAAATTTTCCTACCGATTTGCCTAAAGAAATGGCCTCTCTGTGTGAGTTTTCACTTTCTACTTATTTATATAAATATCATTGTATAACATTCACCTCTTGCTGACCTATCATCAAGGCAACGAGGTACCAGGCATAAAGGTGGGAAACAACTTACTGCAGCCCCCCCCCCCCCCGCCGGCCCGTGTTCTTACAGATTGCTCTGG